CGGTAGCATTGGACAGACCGTCGAAGTACAGGTCGGCCACTGCCTGTCCATCGATACTATAACTAATGTTTACGAGTCGGGGATAGAAATACATTAACTGCTCGACATAATTGTAGGCCTCCCCATAGGTTATGGGCTGGGGTTTGAACCGATTGAACTTAACAGGGTCCATATAAAACGCCATAACCATAGTACCCTCGTTGGCTACCGTTCCTATCAGTAGATCCAAGTCCTGACGATAGTCACCCGACTTAAGCATTTCGATGGGATTCTTGGGAATGAACTGTCCGTCCACCAGGAAATCCAGTTCACAAGCAGTCAGTTGCGGGCCGACAGCTTTCAGTAGTTGAGCTACCGGTGCTTTCTGTAGGCACTCAATCATATGTGGTGTGAATTCCTGTGAATTGGGATCACTATCACCACAACCGGTATTAACGACCCGTTTATACCATTCCCTCTCAAGTGTCTGAGGAGTGCATACATTATTAGTGGCGGCGCCGGACATCATAATAGCCCTCTGAAAGAGGTGTCGGGTTATGGGCGACAGTATGTGAACGCTGGTCGACATACTACCGGCGCTCTGACCAAATACAGTAATATTATGGGGATCGCCACCAAATGAGGATATATTGTCGACCACCCACTGGAGTGCCAGCGCCTGATCCCAGAGACCCATATTGCCGGAGGCACCGGTGTGTTTGACACCGGTATATAGCATACCAAATATGTTGAGCCGGTAGTTGATGGTGACGACTACTACGTCACCCATAGCTGCTAACGCTTGACCGGAATACCACTTTTCGACGGATGACCCAAACTGCATGGCACCTCCATGTATCCAAAACATGACTGGCTTGAGAGCACCGGTAGGTTTAGGTTCCGATGGAGACCATATATTGAGGTATAGACAGTCTTCGCTCATCTCAGGGTTTAAGTAGTTTTCGTGTAGTTTCTGATGAATGCAAGCCTTTGGCCATTGGGTGGCGTCGTAGGGGTCGGGTATGTGTTGAATGGGTTGGGGTTTTTGGAACCGGAGTTCATTAACGGGTGGTTTGGCGTAAGGGATGCCTAAAAACACGGACAAACTCTTGCCGTCAAATGTCATACGTTTGCCATTAATTGAACCGCTTTTCAGTCTAACGGCTATTGTGTCCACACTTTCCGTACAAATCAGTTGTGAACACAATTGTAGTGAAAGTATTGATACAATAAAGTGAAACTTATTTATGAAAAACATTTTATAAAACAAACTTATTTAATGCAAACAATTTATGAAACTTTATTCTTACTTGTTCATTTCAATTGATACTTTATATAGCAATTCAATTATGTGCAGTAAACCAGTATTAAAAATAACTAACCTTGGATTAGCAAACATTAAAGACATTAGTGTTGTGTTAATGCAAACTGTAAGTCCAAATAATACTGAACATGTTCAGTATATGTTCAGTGCAACTTGCACCGACCCTTTCTTATTACTGTAGTACTTTACATTTGATAGTACTATATATCATCATAATATATGCTTTAAATTAATATCATACTCATGATCTGTATTAAATAAATGTACTTGTATAATTTTGAATTCATATGAAATGATAATTGAATTAATTATATTCTGTATTAATATAGTATTGCTATTAATTGTTATAGAATTAATAAAAATAATGATTGAAACTTAAATTTTAAAGTATAAAGGTTATTCACATATAAAATAAGTTTTTTCATTATGATTTAATCTTAATATTCTACGCTATTACATTATATTTAACGTTTTTAAAATAAAAATTTCAAAAGAATAATAACAATTACTTATAATGTGTTTGTTTATGATGTCAAATGTTATTAAAAGTATTTTTTATTTTCTATGTTATATACAAATTTCATTGTCACTTATTATATTGTATCATTCAAAATTGCAAGTATTTTAAAAATGACTTAATAATTTTCATTTAGTAAGAGCTTACATAAAGTTACAATAAAACGTAAGCAATGATAAATTGTAATAAATTATTGCCAATAGGATTGCGGATCCTATGGGCAGACAATGAGTTGTATAGAATTGGCTTATGTTTGACATCACACATGAGTCCCACTAAAAGACCCTGGTATTCACATCCAAAATTAATCGCGTGTGTTTTGTGGATATATTTTTCAATACAAATTCTATTGCTATTTATTCCTAAACACAATCATATTATGCATCATATGTTGGGAGACATCACAAGCTTTTCCAGTATTGGGTATCACTTCAAAATCGGTGCCGCGATTTGGACTCTCCTTAATATATGTATTCAAATGATTTATGTCTTCAACTACAGGTGCGGTATTAGCCCCACATTTCTGGGGGTGTTTGCAATGATGTCAGGTGTAGTTACCCCCAATAGTATAGGACTCTCAGACCCACACACTGTCTACCGATTCATACGGATATCCAAAACATTATTTTCAATAACAACATATACCTCAAGAACATTACCCCTATTTGGTATCCTATGTCTGTATATGTATCTGAAAAGGTGTACATTGTATGAGACGGTGATTTATGGGGTACCTAATGCTATATTATTAAGCTTTGCTG